CACATAATTGAAGAAATGAAAAATTTGTTACTAAATCGAATATTAAAAAAGAAACTACTACATATTAATAGAAAGACGACTTCACTTCCTTCTAATCATCTTGCTGAGATTTTAACTAGATTAGAAAAATTTTGAGCATTAGGTCTCTTAAGAGGATCTTTTAGTTTGATTGATTATCAAGTAACAGTATATATTTTTTCAGACATTTTGTCATGGAAAAAATCTATCTTCGACAAATATTAAACAAAAATCAATTGTTTTTTTTGAACTGATAACGTTGATGTTCTTTTTTCTCACATCAATATGGTGAAATATTTTATCCACCAGTTAAAATTAAAAGGGTGGGTGTGGTTATGATTGAACAGAATACTAACACTGATGCTCACACTCTCAACTTGTCAAACCCTATCTACTCATTTATTAAAAAAACGCGAGAAAAACTAATTTGCTTTAATTTTATATTATTCAGGCCTCACAAGAAGATTTTATTTTTGCCAAAAATGTAATATACATAAACAAAAGTAAAAATAATTATTCCATATTTAATGTAGAAGTATATATATATGACAAATAGAAAATTATATCCAAAGACAAAATCTTGATAATTCAATATCAACTCTTCTATGAGGAAAACATTTTTGAACTATAGAGCGATGTAGCTTGAATTTTTTAGGAATAATTTGTCTATGAATATGAAAAAAGAACAAATTGTTTCAGACTTTCAATTAATTGCCAAAGATCTTAGTCGAAAACATTTACATTTCGAACTAAACAAAAATATTACCCTTTCTTAATGTATTGTTTTTTTATTTATATACCAATAGATTTAGATGTTTCTAAAGTGTCTGCTCTTTTTGAAACATCAATATGATGAAAGTATCCTGATTGAATATTCGGGTGCAGGTATGGGTGTAACAGCAATTACGTACATTTTTGACATGCATACCTATGAAAGAGTTGGAAATCTTGTTAAAATAAAAAGCTCTGCATGTTTACGTATTAGCCCTCAAATTAGGATATTGACAAGATAAATGGATTTAAAAACACTCCATCATTCAACAAAGCATCTTGGACTAGAAACATTCCATTGATATGAAATTTTTTGGATATGTTAGTATTGCAGTAAAGAGACTATGACGGAATTTTCAGACCCACAGCATGCTGTTTTCACAAACTATTTTAAGGCATTCTATCTAACTTAAGGAAGTGAATTATCATGCGTAATGTAAACCATTTATTGTTCAATATTAGCATGAATAAAACGACTTTAACCAAGTGAAACTATTTTAGAGATTTTGTCTTGTCACCAAATCAGCATGAAAGTGACATATGAATTGCTTCGACTTATATAGCAAGAGATGTATTTATTGTGTTCTAGACATTCTGTGGACTCCATTTAGGTCATTAGTCAAATGCACAACTGATAGAAACAGTTAAAAGTTAACTGTAACACAAATCAATATACTGAAGTAGTTTTTCGTTCGACAAGATGTTGTTAATTTTTTTTTTATTACTGATGTTTTCTAACTCGTTTTATAAGTTAGTTATTGACTGATAATGTGAACAAAGTTCACGAAATATCTCAATTATGATTAAAATGAAAACAAAATAATTCATTAACTAACTATAGCTTTGTACACTAATGGGAACGATATTTCGAAATGCAAGTGTAATGCATTCGTGTATACAATTATTAGTATATTTCTTTTCATCATAACAACATAAAACGTGAAGAAAGACAAAAAAGGAGAAACAACATTGAAAAAACGAAATACATGTGATGAAGAATGCATGTATGAAAATAAATTGCCTACCTGATGAAAATGTCATGCTTCATTGACTCACATAAACATACATCGGTGGGAAAAAACCAAGTAATTTTGTCAACGATATATACCAAGGAGAATTGATTGCAAGCATACAAAAAAAATATTCGAACACTCAAGTATCACTTCGTATGTAAGTATATTTGATTTTCAAAATTATTAGGCTAAACATAAATAAATTCTTCATTTCGATACAATAAAGATACATGAATGCTTTATTTTCAAAAATAAAGATAGAATAAGGAATTAAGAAATATTTTTTTCTGTCATAAATAAAATGGACAAATATCTAGTATAACAGCAGCGTATGTTAATCAGTATTATTTCTTATCACCAACATCATTTAAAATAGCAGGAAAAGTGAACTATCATCATAGACTTTTTATTCATGTAAAAAACATTTTAAAAAACTATTTGAAACTTGATCAACTCAATAAAAATCATTGAATATTAAAGTTAAAACCAAATATCTTTCCCATTCGCAGAATAGGTGAGACATTATGATTTTTCAAATGTTATACATAGGAAAACTGTTAAACGAAAGCGTGTGTAGGTTTTCTTGTGTATGAGCATCGATCAAAGAATGCAGCGATTGGATGGGTTTCATCAATTGATGTGTTTGTCCTTCTCAAAAGTTAGCACATATAAAAAAAAGGCACATGAGAAAAGCATTTAACCTGATCAAATCGAACGGATTTAGTCTTGTTTTAAAGCTGTGAAATTGTTACAAATGAATTGGAGTAAGGTTATGAGCGTCACTAGACAGCTTCAGGTTCTTTCTAGGTGAAGAAAAGTGTAGGCTAAAATCCAGCTACAATCTGTAACATATCAACATGAGTTAACTTGTCAAGTTGTTTTTGAAAATAAAGCACAGAATATATTTCATACTATCATATCAAAGTTTAGATTTAAAATGCTGCTTTCTGATAATGTTCTGCAAAATCGCTGAATCTTGCCGTTTTTGCAACTGAATTGAAGAAAAGATGATAAGATCGTATTTTATCACAGTATCCGATGCAGATGTCATTTCTATTAAATCCAAGAAAAGTCAAAGCCCAGCGATACTGCTTTGTATTCTTTATGCTTCTTTCCCCAAATACTCGAAAACTTCAGATGCAAAGAGTTAAGTTTGAGAAAATCTGTCGAAGAGAACTTCTAGTCATGTATATCAATAGTATGGTCATAAAAATGTTTAAAAGATCATCGATCGATTTAGTTTCGGAAGCGATTTATCATTGATAGGTTTAGTATTCTAGGCGTATTTTACTGCTCAATCTTCACGAGAAATACTTAAAAATTACGACATGTACAAAATAATTTATTCTGAAAGGCTGAAAACTGAATAATTTGTAGCGAAAATGCTCAGTCCTTCGTGGACACTTTCATAATAGTTAGTCCAATTTGAAAGGCATGTTTTAAATGAATTAACGCCATTGTTTTAATCTTTGTTTTTGTCAATAAAAGATTCACTGATTACTATTTGTAACATATTTACCATTTACTAGTAGCCTTCATAAACGATTGATTAATAAGCAATTCTTTTTTCGAAGCTTTCAAAATTTGACGAACATACAATAAAACTTGACGAGTTTTTGGTTTTTTAATGTTTTCAAGTTCCTATGCTAGCTATTACTTCTACATTTATTATATCTAGTTTCAAAAGTGATATTCTAGAATAGACAGCTGTTACATTAAGAGTTTGTTTGCAAAACTATTTGTTATTTATAAATAGCTATTACTTTCTCTTTCGCAGTTATTTGTAGCGGTAGTCTTTTTCTCACTAAATTAACAAAACTAAAGATAGAAATAGGAAATATCAGCATAGCTGTTAACACTGTGTTTGAATATATTGAGGTATAATAATACTATAGTTTGAAGAAATAGTTTACTTCAAAAATGGTTTGAATGCTGTTTGGTCAGCCATAAGGTTATATCGCTCCCTTCTCAGATGCCTTGGATTCTACTGCGCATGATTGTGATTGTTCTCATTACTCACATTCTTTTCAACTATCAAAGAACATTAATTTAATTATTTTACAGCTTTCAAGTCTCGCAGCTAAATACAAGATGGACAAAAAGACATCTTTCGCAACTGGCAACACCAGTACTGTCGTCAACAATATCGAGAAGATATCAGTGACATCAACACCAGTCAATATTACAACAACTACTATGGTTGCTGTAGCTTCTTCATCATCCGTTCGATCGCGATCGATGCGATTTGTACAAAATTTTTTATTGGTTTGGCTTGACGCTAAAATTGATGAGAACAATGCAGATTTTAAAAATTCTTTTGAACAACTTCAAAACGTTGTTAATACAGTAGAAGCATTTACTGATGTTGATCAATGCTTCGAATATATGAAAAGTATCCAAGATGAAAAAATCTTTTTAATCATCTCTGGAACACTTGGTGAAAAGACTGTGCCTCTCTGGCACAATATGCCTCAACTTGATACCATCTTTGTTTTCTGTAGAAACAAAGATCAACACAAGCAGTGGGCAAAAAATTGGTCCAAAATTCGACGTGTGTCAACGACAATCAAGTCTATATGTAAGGAGTTAGTCAAGGCCACCCGCGAATGTGATCATGACAAAATACCGATGAGTTTCGTTCCAAAACGCACACTCAAAGAAGTAGCATCGAATCAACAAAAGATCGACGAATTGGAACCATTGTATATGTATTCGGTGTTATTCAAAGAAATTATATTAGAAATCAATGACGACGATACCAAACCTGTAAATGACCTTGTAGCATATTGTCGTCAACAACAGGTCTCTCAATCTCAACTGGAATATTTTCAGCGTAAATACCACCAGAAATCACCAGTCTGGTGGTATACGTGTGAAACGTTTGTGTACAGCATGCTCAATAAGGCATTACGTACACTTGATATGGAAGTGATGACCAAAATGGGATTTTTTATCCGAAATCTTCATCAGCAGCTGGAACAGTTATACAAACAACAATCAAATACATATGCCAAGAAATTTATCGTTTATCGTGGTCAGGGTTTCATTCAACAAGACTTTGATCATCTAATCGATATAAAAGGTGGACTGCTCTCATTTAACAATTTCTTATCGACAAGTAAAAAAGAACAGGTCGCTATGGGATTTGTTCAACGTACCATGCACAAGAATAAAGACATCGTGGGTGTCCTTTTCATCATGACAATTGATCCAAGTAAAATTTCAGCTGCGACTACTCCATTTGCCCTCATCGATGAATACAGTGCTATTGAAAATGAAAAAGAAATTCTATTCTCAATGCACACTGTTTTTCGTGTCGATGATATCCAGCAGGCAGTCAGCAGCAATCGTCTATGGGAGGTTCAATTAAGTCTTACAGGCGACAATGATCCACAATTGGCTACTCTTACTGAACGCATAAAAGGAGAACTCTGTGGATCCATAGGATGGCATCGATTGGGTGATCTAATGCTTCAGGTGGGTCACTACAATCAAGCGGAAGAGCTCTACAACGAATTACTCAAGAAAGCTTCCAGCGACGATGACAGAGCACATATATATCATATGCTTGGAGTGATGAAATTGCATCAAGGACAATACAAAGGAGCAGTTTCATTTAATGAAAAAACACTTGAAATCAAGCGAAAAACTCTTCCGGAAGATCCTTCTTCATTGGCTCCTACCTACACTAACATCGGTGCAGCGTATAGAAACATGGGTAACTACTCGAAAGCACTTGAATTTTACGACAAAGCACTTAAAATACTCGAAAAATCTCTGCCTCCGAATCATCCCGATTTGGCTAGTTCCTACAACAACATCGGTCTTGCGTATGACAACATGGGTAACTACTCGAAAGCACTTGAATTTTACGACAAAGCACTTAAAATAAGAGAAAAATCTCTGCCTCCGAATCATTCCGATTTGGCTAGTTCCTACAACAACATCGGTCTTGCATATAACAACATGGGTAACTACTCGAAAGTACTTGAATTTTACGACAAATCACTTAAAATAAAAGAAAAATCTCTGCCTCCGAATCATCCTGATTTGGCTACTTCCTATAACAACATCGGTCTTGCGTATGACAACATGGGTAACTACTCGAAAGCACTTGAATATTGGGTGTGGGTGTGGGTGTCGGTGTATGTATGGTTTTGGATGTGGGTGGGTGTGGATGTGAGTGTAGGTATAGGTTTGGGTTTGGGTTTCAACATAGATCTTTTCTTGACAACACCCACACCTACACCCACACTGAAAAAAAGAGGTACTTTCCTGAACCCTCCAAAAAGGTTTTGTAGCTGTCCAAAGGCTTCCAAATGCGTTCAAACGTTCAAAAAAACGATTCTAAAAATCTACGAAACCATAAAAGGGTCTGACCGCGGATACACGGGCGGAACCATCTCCTACGAAACCTTTTTCAAGTGCCATACAGCGAAAAAACGTTTCTTAAGAAAATACGAAACCTTTATAGTTTCTTAGTAAACCTTATGGTTTCGCACTATGGTTTTATACGAAACCATTATTTTTACTAGGAAACTATAAAGATTTCGTATTTTCTTACGAAACCTTTTTTTCGCTGTACGGAACTTGAAAAGGTTTCGTAGGAGATGGTTCCGACCGTGTATCCTCGGTCAGATCCTTTTAAGGTTTCGTAGATTTTTGGAATCGTTTTTTTGAGCGTTTGAACGCATTTGGAAGCTTTTGGACACCTACGAGACCTTTTTGGATGGCCCAGGAAAGTATCTATTTGTTTTACAGTGCACCCACACCACAACCCACACGCACCCACAACCACATTCACACCCACACTTCGCACCCGCACCCAAACCCCACATCCACACATCCACACCAGCACCCACACCACACACCCACATCCACACCCATATACCCACATCCCATATTGAGGGTGGGCATGGATGTGAGCGTGTATTTTCTTTTCATGTACACCAACATCGACTGCCACACACCATCCAAGGCGATGACACTCAAGTGATTGTGGAGATAATCACTAAAGAAAACTTGGAAAGACAAATAATCCCATGAATGATGTTACAGGGCTTTTTCTACTTTGTTTATTGTTCACAGTTATATTCTCAAGTTAAGCTAGGTAGAGTTTACTGAGTGTCAACGAATAAAAACACTTACATTTGAAATCGTAAGTCTAGAAAAAAGCAGAATACAGCAGCTGTATAAATGAACAACGTGATTTCTGTTCAAATCATTGCAGATTACTCACAATTCTAGATTTATCAACCAAGCGGCATATCATATACAATATGAGTGGACACATGTTCAAAACAACAGTTTCTACGTCACAAATAGATGCCATTACAACTTCAAGAACATCTTCAAATATCATTGAAGCAAAACAACACCGAGTTCAAGATTATTCGTTGATCTGGATAGACGGCAACATTGATGTGGCCAATAAGAATTGTCAAAATGCGCTTGCGCAATTACGGAGTGTCATTAATGACGTCCATACTTTCACCCAATCGGATGAATGCGTTGACTTTCTCACTGAAGTCGATGACAGAAAGGTGTTCCTCGTTGTAGCAAGTACTATGAGCCAACCAATGATACCTTTAATACATGACATTGCGCATCTTGACTGTATTTACATCTTTTCTGAGAATGAAACGCAACACAAAGAATGGACAGCAAACTTGCCAAAAATTCAAGGTATCTTTACAGAAATTGCACAAATTTGCGATTCATTACAAAAAGTCGCTCGTCAATGCGATCACGACGCAATGCCGATGAGTTTCGTTCCAAAA